ATGAGACTGGAAATTTAGGGAAATGGAGAACAAAGAGATCATTAGTAAGATCAACGATGAAACATTCTAGAAAATACCTAACCAGTATGCCTCAAAATTGTCATAGTTATGGAAAATAAGAAGAAACTGGGAAATTGTCATAAACCAAGGACACTAGGGAGACACGATAACTGAAAGCAATGTGGTATCCTGATGGGCACAACAAAAAAGGCAAGCAAAAGTCCAGTACAGTGGCGCAAGTAGCTTCAGGTAGAACTGATGCCAAGATTAGTACTAACGACAAGTGAGAAACAAAAATTTTGTTAATTGTCCTGAGGTCTTGAAAAAATAAATACCTTATCCATCTAGTTTCTTCCCTTGCAAGACCAAAGCATAAGAAGGGCTAGTGCAGGGTCTGAGAAAACCCATATGGTTGAAGGATATAAGGCCTTCAACTATAGCTTGGAGCCCTTGCTTTGCTTCTGACTTCAAGGGATATTGGGGTGTTTGGTCAACAGTTTGATAGGATCTATCTACTTGCTCGGTTCTACCACAATTATTTTTCCCCCCCCGTGCCAGTGGACTTTGAAGGTCATAAATGTCAGGTTCAATGTTAAGACCATCATCTGGGTATGTATCGAATATAACGGGGAAGGCAAAGGTATAACAGGGCAGACACAACTTGGTTATGAATAGAAAACTTCTCTGGCACTTTAAGAAGTAGTTCCTCTGTTGAGCATTTAATATTACAATTCCACTTGCAGAGTAAGTCTCTCTTTATTAAATTTGCAGGGGTGAATACCCATAGAGTAGGAAGAAATGTTTCTCATTCAAGAGCCCAAGGGTTATAGTTAAGAGCTGGGAGATAGGAAAAATATGTGGGTGATTTGAAAGATAGGAAGATAGAAAGATAGCAAAGATGAGAGGTTTAATGTAGTAAGAGGAGCACCCTTACCTACCAGGAATTGATGAGTGTCACCATTTATATTTGTTGAACTTGAGTGTTTAGGGTAAAACTCAGAGTACTGGGAACTTTTTCCTTCTCCAGAGCACCTACATTGATCAGAATTGAGGGCTTTTCTTTGTCTTGGTTTTTCTAAAACTGGACATTCTTTTTCCCAGTGTCCTTTCTGTTTACACTATCTATGCTGCCCTTGTCAAAAATGGTGGCTTGGGAAGTGGGCCACCTTAAGCTTTTGATCTGCATGATCACAGTTTATTTTGGATTCTTCTCACTTTTATTCCAAACCCCTCTCAAAATGTTCCGACAGGTGTTTTAGTTCAGGCAAAGGTGCTATGGGTTACCCTGACAAAGTTTGTCCAAATGAATGCCAATCCGGAGAGAACTGCAAACTCATTGGTCTCTAAGGCCGCTCTAGCAACAGGCTTAAAGGGCCTGGGCCTGTGTTCCACCCTGTGATTCCGCTTCCTACGACAAACCACAGTTGTAGGCAGCACAATACAAAACAGAAGTACAAAAGGGAGCCAACCAGGGTGAAAAGGAATAGAATGATTCCACCAAGGATGCCTAACAAATGGGAAGCAATAACAAAACCAGGGCACCAACTTTAGAATAAATAGCTGAGCAACTCAATGCAAAGACAGCAGAGTTCATATCCAGCATTGACATACCACAGACTTGACAAGCCACAAGCAGCCAAGGTGCAAGGGACCTCTGTGGTACCTTCTCTGGTGAAAGGCTGGACATGCAGACCATATCTCCATGGAGTCTTCCAGAAAAACTGTGGAAATAAACAGAGACCACCCTAATAACTAACATATTTTTAGAGCTTTCTAGAGCAAGGGAGAAAGTCACTATATTTACCTTGGGAAGACTCAAAGGCAGGCAGGGGAGTGGGAAAGCTTTATGGTAAAAGAATGAGGAAAAGTTCAGGTGTGCTCTGGTTGGAGATTATAGGCAAGGAGAAGATGGAGTTTGGTTAAAGAAATGAGCTTCGTATGTCATTGGTTGTGGGAGCATATTTGGCTTTCTCTGATTGGTTCTGAGGTGGAAGCAGGTGAAAAAGTTGGGAAACTGGCAGTCATGGACCGTGTTCTAATTGTTCTGGGCAGATTGCTGCAGGATTTAAAAAAAAAAATATATTTTATTGACTTTTATACAGAGAGGAAGGGAGAGGAAGAGAGAGACAGAAACATCAACAAGGGAGAAACATCAATCCTACTGGGGATGTGCCAGCAATCCAGGCACATGCCCTTGACTGGAATTGAACCTGGGACCCTTGAGTCCGCAGGCCAACACTTTATCCACTGAGCCAACCTGATTAGGGCTGCAGGGGTTTTGGTTTGGCTCTTGGACTACTTGCTGCTGAGGGTGTGGGTTGGGGTTCTCATCGAGCCCTTGTCCATTGGTAAAATCAGTCTATCAAGGTGAAGCTGTCATTGAGCAGTTAGATTTCATTTAATCCTCATAACTATCTCCTCCAGGTCCCTCTTGTACAGACAAGGAAAAGCAAAGCTCAAGGGACTATGAATTGTGTATCCAAGGCCATACAACTAGTGACAACAAGCAAAATTCAGACCTACAAACGTTGGACCTTTTTTTAAGGTCAATCTTGTAGAGACCATAAAATTATTCTGATGCTGCCCTAACTGTTAGAAATGTAGGTAATCAAAATTTCTCATTGTATGAATGAATGGATGACAATAATTTTGGAACACTTCTTTTGAAATTGTCTCCACAGCCTGCATTAAAAAAACAAAAACCTTTCGTATAAAAACCTTTGCAGCAACCTGGATGGAATTGGAGAACATTATGCTGAGTGAAATAAGCCAGTCAATGAACATTATGCTGAGTGAAATAAGCCACATGATCTCACTCATTTATGGATAATAAAGAACATTATAAACTGATGAACAAAAAGATTCAGACAGTAAAGCATCAAACAGACTGTCAAATTATAGCGGGAAGGTTAGGTAGATGTGGAGGAGATAAGAGATCAACCAAAGGACTTGTATGCATGCATAAAAGCATAACCAACGGACACAAAACTTAGGGGGGCGAGAGCATGTATGGGAGTGGGGGGACAATGGTAAGATCTGTACACATATAACACCTTAATTAAAAAACGGGGGAAAAAAATCCTCCAATGATGGCATGTTTTGATGGATTTAGATTTTGGAAACAAACATTTTTCCAAATTAAGACTGGCTAATAATGCTAGAGAACCTGCTGGCTCAAAGCCTGGTGTGTACATTCGGTAATGAGATGGATCTTGGGCTTTTTGCATATCCTGGATGTGATCTACAAAGCAGCTTTGAAGGCTTTTCCAAAAGAAAAGTTGTAAAAATAGTTGCATTTTGGAAATTAGTTCTCGACTTTTCCAAAGTTTGGAGGCCAATGCTTTTTTTTTTTTTTTTTTTTTTTTTTTTTTTTAATAAGCTAACTCATTATTTTTGCAATTTAGCTTTCTGTGTAGTTTTACAGTTCTCAAATTGTCTACATCATTCAACAAATATTTGTTGAACATCTATTATGTGTTCAGCGTGTGCTTTGAACACGGATATGAAATACAGGTCTGTACACTAGGAGCTCTAAGTGTAGTTAAGGCAGACAGAATGTTAACAACTGAAATGCCATTGGATAAGTACCATGGCTGATAAATGGCAGGGTGCCCTGGGAACATGCAGTTGGTGAGTTGGTACATGTTAAATCACTGACCCCTGGCGGGGAGGGGATAGTGAGACAAGGGCCTGATTTTCAGCATTTGCTGGTTTCCATGGTGTAAATACTCCCCCCATTTCAAGCTACCAACATGATGCAGCAGCACACCATTATATCCCTTTTCCCCTATACAGACACAATCGATGCAAATAACATCAAAAGCATAGATAATAGTAAAATATAGTAAAACAATTGGGAAGTGATGAGTTCGAGCATTTGTTACTTTTGCTTTTAATACAGTTAACTTAATTATAAATTTATCTAATTTATTATTAAAGAACAGCCATATTTACCTAAAAACAAAATTACTGAACATTTAACAATCAGCTCTTGCAAGCAAGTAGGAACCAGTGCAAATGTCTAGCAAGCCCCCGGGACAAAAGCTATGTCTGGAATTACTGTTGATTCACCTGAAGGGAAGATGGTAAGGAAATTGAAGGCAGGGATACTGCCTTTTCATTTCTGTATCCATGGCACCTAGCAGTAGGCTGTTGAATGGTCAACGTAAATCATTAATGCAAATTTAAAAAAATTAGCCCCTACTATATTCTGGGCACTATTCTAGGAGCCTGGGGATGGGAGTGGGTGGGGATGGCAGTAAAAATCAAGCCCCTGCCTTTAGAGTTTACATTCCTGTGTGTGTGTATGTGAGTGTGTGTGTGTGTGTGTGTGTGTGCGTGTGTGTGTAATGACACATGCCTGTCATGTAAGGCGGCGGGGAGTAGGGTTAAAACTTTTGTAGTGAAAAGGTGAAAAGGACTGAGGATTGTCTTTCACAAGGGTTGTGAGACATATAAATGTTGAATGAAATGTCCTGGAATCTGGGAAACAGGGTCTAAGGCAGTGGTTGGCAAACTCATTAGTCAACAGAGCCAAATATCAACAGTATGATTGAAATTTCTTTTGAGGACCACATTTTTTAAACTTAAACTTCTTCTAACGCCACTTCTTCAACATAGACTCGCCCCAGCTGTGGAATTTTGTGGAAGAGCCACCCACCCTCAAGGGGCCAAAGAGCCGCATGTGGCTCGCGAGCCGCGGTTTGCCGACCACTGGTCTAAGGAAGGCTGAAGCACAGACTTCGTGCAAACCTCACCATTTCAACAGGACTGGGACACAGGGTAACTTAGGAAATTTCTTCTTTCACCCCACGCGGCTGCCCTTCACTTTCCTCAGCCTTTCGCACAAGTGCAAAGTCAAGTCCGCCTGAGAAAGCCGAACGATTAAGCTGACCAATCAGAGGCGGCGAGGCGGGGCTCATGTTTCAGTACCCACCGGAGCCCGCTGCGCATGCTCCAGATCCTTCTGTTTCGGGTACACTTTCTGGGGCACTGTGCGCATGTGCGAGAACGAGACGAGGAAGTTTGGCCCTAGGGGTAGCCGTACCGTCCGGGAGGCGAGTGGCGTCCCGGGTTGCTCGGGTGTTCGCCCCGGTGTCAACTGTTCTAACGCCACCGTCGCCACCGCCTAGTATGAACCCGGAGAGTTTCGCGGCCGGTGAGAGGCTGGTGTCGCCGACCTACGTGCGGCAGGGCTGTGAGGCTCGCCGCACGCACGAGCACCTCATCCGGCTGCTTCTGGAGCAGGTACCGAGGGGTCGGGCGGCTGCCCGCCGCCGAGCCCCCAGCTCCGCTGCGCCCCCGCGACGGCCGCGTCCAGCTTCCCCCGCTTCGGTTCGCCGGCCGGAGCCGCCCCCCGGTCTGTCCAGCTGGGCGGGCGCTGCGCCCACTGGCTGCGCCCACTGGCTGCGCTCCGCCCCGTCTCCACCTCGCCGCGCCCCCAAACCGGACAGTGTATGAGGGCGCGTGTGGGGTCGCGATTTTGAGTCCCGTTGAGTGTAAACATGGGGGAAGGGAGTGAAAGTCCCAGTTGGTTTACTTCTTTTGTTTTGTTTGCGGAAAGAGCAAAGTTCGCACCTCCCTCCTTCCACTCTTCCCGAGGACTCGGGGAACACGTGTTCAGAAATCACGGTGTACTTACCAAGTGCTGCCTCGGAACGTCACCGGGCACGGCATCTCCGAATGTTAATTTCACTCACGTTTGGCAAACCTGTAGCTTTCGCAGTCTGGTTTGAAGAATCTTCGTTAAAGATAAGGTTTTCAGTGACCTTAACTTACTACAACTTTAAACCGGAGTAAATTTCATCGCATTTATTTATTCATGTATCCATTCATTCATTCATTCATTCCTTCTCGAATCTAGATAGTTGTAGTGTAACAAAACCTTCTTCCTAGTTGGGGTTTCTTCATCGTGCTGAATTTCTGGCTGAATTTTAGATAGCAAGGAACATGGCAAAATAACACACTAAAAGGGTTTAAAATGCATCGAGGTGCGTTCTAAGGAACGACGAGACCACCTTAAATATAATTAAGTCATAATTCAATATAATGATGTGTTTTTTTGTTTTAAGGGCAAATGTCCAGAGGATGGTTGGGATGAAAGTACACTTGAACTCTTCCTGCATGAACTGGCGATCATGGATAGCAACAATTTCCTGGGCAACTGTGGTGTGGGAGAAAGGGAAGGGAGAGTGGCTTCCGCTTTAGTTGCTCGGCGTCATTACAGGTACATTTTTTTCAAATAGCATTCTTTCCTTGCTTTTTTCTTCTCTAAAAACAATGGTGGCAGTATTCATCATATTAGATTACAAAATGTCTGTTTGGAACCTATTTCTTTCCTATTGAAATGGGCATCCAAACTTAGATGCAACAATTTAATCTGAGAAGGTGCTTTTCAAGACAGCAGGGTAAAAGTTTTTTTCAGGTTCTGGGTAGTTAACAATACTAGCTATACGTTCTGTTAAGAACAATTAACCTAATAAACCTATTATTTGTATGAGTTTAAAATATCAAGGTTTGTTATGATTTTCCATGTTTCTTTTCTACAGTTGCAAGTTTTTTTTAGAGAATGATATATAGATAGAACTATAAATCATTGTTTATCTGCATCTAAACTGAATCCCATTTTATAAGCACCTTTTTGCAATAGATGTAGGAAAGGCTATATTAAATTTACTATTAGATTATTAAGTAACTCTTACATTTTTTCAAAAAGTTTTTCATCAGTTCTGATAATCATTTAATTGACAGTGATTTCAAATATAATCATTTCTTCTGCCTTTCTGTGAAATGTAGGTAAACTCTAAAATGAAAACTCCTGCTTTCCATGATTTAAGATTTTACTGAGGTTTGACAACCCCTAGGTTTAACAGTCTGGTTTGAATAATCTTAGTTGAAGAAAAGTTCCATGATGACATTTTCTATCCCATAGTTGAATTTTATTTCAATCAAAACCATCAAACTTCTAGTTGAATCAAAAGGTTCAAATTTCACCCTGACTGGTTTGTCTCATTGGATAGTGCATTGACCTACAGACTGAAGGGTCCTAGGTTCGATTCCGGATAAGGGCATGTACGTTGGTTTTGGCACATCCCCAGTAGGGAGTGTGCAAGAGTCAGCTGATTGATGTTTCTCTCTCATTGATGTTTCTATCTCTATCCCTCTCCTTTCCTCTGTAAAAAATCAATAAAATATTTTTTAAAAAGGTTCAGACTTCAAGTTAAAAAAATAAATACGTAAGTCATGGGGTTTAATGTATAGCATGTTGCCTCTAATTACTAATACTGTTTTGTATATTTGAAAGTACTAAGAGAGTAGATCTTAAAAGTTCTCGTCACAAGAAAAATTTGTTGCTGTGATGATGGACGTGAACTAGACTTGTGGCGATCATTTTACAATATATACATGTATTGAATCATTTTTTTGTATACCTGGAACTAATATGATGTTATATGTCAATTATATGTGTTAGTTAAAAGAAAAACCTAATTGCAGCTAAAACAACTGATAACGAATGTATAACTTGGGTGAAAAATTCATGTTAAAAATGGGCTGATAACAGTTATTTTCTGTAAAAAATACTTTGTACATGAGGTTTCAGTGGTAATGAAGCGTGGCACTAGTGTTTTGTGATAATTCCAGGATGCAGAATTTCTGATCTATTTAACTGTAAATTACAAATAGATTTTTGATTTTGAATAATATCTGGAGGTCTCTTAAATAGTGTATGACATCTAATTTAAAATGAGTGGATTAGCACATGCATTTTTAAAGAATTAATTAAGGCAATATTTGAAATATTGATACCAACTCATCCCCATTGGAACTTAGTCCTCTACTCTGACTAGGGGAAAAGGAAATAAAGAAGAGAATTTAATGCTGCAGATATTTTGCTTTTCTACCGTTGCACAACAAACCTCAAAAACAAAGTGGCTTGAAACAATCACTTATCATCTCCTAGTTCTGTGGGTGAACTGGGCTCAGCAGGGTGATGATTGCTTTGGGTTTCGCATGTAGTTGCAGTCGGATGGTGACTGAGCATTTAGTCATCTGAAGGTTCAACGGGGCAGTTGATCCAAGTTGGCGCACTTAGGTTGCTGGGAGTTCGGTTGCCCTCTCCATGTGGCTTTGGCTTCTCCCAGGAGGGATTATAAGAGGGAGTCCTCAAGAACGAGCCCTTCAAGAGCCTGGGTAGGAAACTTTAAGGCTTCTTATGCTCTAACTCAGAAGTTCCAGATCATCACTTTTGCTACTTTCTTTCTGACCCAGCAAGTCTCTAAGGCCTGTCCTGATTCAAGTGGAGGGAATTAGACTCCATCTCTTGGTGTGGCAGTACCATATGGGTATAGGGAGAAAAGGAAGTAATGATGGCCAGCTTTGGAGACTAGATACCAGAGCAAAATTGATGAATTTGTTTAAACTTAATAGGATATTTTCATATTATAAATAGTTTATGCAATATATCTACAATAGTCAAGTATTGCTCCTGGTATTTTATTTTTTATTTTTTATTTTTGGTTATTGCATTTGTATACTTATACAGTAGATTACTTAGAACACTGAGTATTTTTGTCCAGTTGTTGGCCCATCTTTTGCTTAGGTTCATTCATGGAATTGGACGATCGGGTGATATTTCTGCTGTGCAACCAAAAGCTGCAGGTTCTAGCCTTTTGAACAAAATTGCCAATTCTTTGGTCCTGGACATCATAAAGATGGCTGGTATGTACTGTGTTAATCATAATACTTTTGTCTGACCAGCCACACATGCTGACCAGCCACACATGCCTTTGCCTAGTTTTCTATTAATGTCTCTTTCAAAGAGGATAAAAGTGATTTTTGAGAAGATGTATCTATCTTTATATATAAAAGGCTAAGCGACTGTCCCAACTGGCTGGTAGGTATGATCTACACTGATCAGCAGAGGGCAGATGCTCACCGCAGGAGCTGTCGAGTTGCAGTGACTTGGCAGCAGCACCCCAGAACCAGAGAGGAGGGACCCCGATTCCTCACAGGGCCATGTGATTCCACCTTTGGCAGTGGGTTATGTTGTTGTTGGAGTACTTTTGGTCCCGAATCTGGTGTATTGCACATTTGCGTTTGCGTCCCAATCATGTACAATAACAACTTTGCAGAGTGCCCTCTTGCACTCTGGGACCCCTTGGGGGATGCCAGAGATCCAGTTTGGCCTGATCCCGGCAGGCCAGGCCAAGGGACTCCACCTGCCAGAGGGACCCTGCTTACTCTGCAGATATCCTTCAAGCCACGGCGCCACCCCAGGTGCAGCTGGCTGGGGTGGGACCACGGGAGGTTGGCTCCAGGGAATGTTTGGCCCGTCTCACCCAGTCCCACCCACCAGCCACCTTCTAATTAATTTCCTTTTAATGTACACAAATCTGTGCACCAGGTTTGTAGTGTACATATAAAAACCTTTAGAATAAGATAGGAAATCAGATCATAAGCATGAAGGATGAAATTGACAGGTTCCTGAGAGTGAGTACAGAAGCAGCAGCAGTAAATCTACAACTTTTATTATTTGCTAGAAGAATATAATTCCTTCAAGAAGAAAGCTGTTTTTTCAATGAAATAACTAATTTCTGTTTTACTTCTTATTCCTAGGTGTCCATTCAGTGACCAATTGCTTTGTAGTACCTATGGCAACTGGTATGAGTCTAACTCTGTGTTTCTTGACATTACGACACAAAAGACCAAAGGCAAAGTATATTATATGGCCTCGAATAGACCAGAAGTCCTGCTTTAAATCCATGATCACTGCAGGTAAAAGAGTGTTGTATATAATGCATTCAGTATCACAGTTAGACATTTCAAACTTTTTTGTGTAAAGATATATAAATGAAAAGAAACTAACCCTATTTCTTTTTATTGTGATAAAATATACATAAAATTACCATTTTAAAATGTACAATTCCATGACATTAAGTACATTCACATTGTTGTGCAACTATAATCACCATTTATCTCCAGAACTTTTTCATTTTTTTAAACTAAAATTCTGCCCATTAAACAGTAACTGCCGCTTCCCGCTGCTCCCAGTCCCTAGCAATCATCATTCTCCTTTCCGTCTCTATGAATTTGACTATTCTAGAGTATTTTCCCTTTGTGACTGGCTTATTTTACTTAACGTCTTTAAGCTTTAATCCATGGTGTACTACCTGTCAGAATTTCTTTTCGTTTTAAAGACTGACTGACATTCCATTCTCTCTGTGTGTGTATGTATGTATGCTTGTGCATGTGCACGCGCGTGCGTGCGTGCATTCGTGTGTCAAGTTGAATTTGAGAATTTAACGTTATTTTTGAATGACTTCAGAATGTTGTGTGAAATGAACAGTATTGGGCTGTAATTGAACTGCATAAATAATAAAGAAACTCATAAAAGGACTTATAATAAGGACATATAGCAGAAATTGATAGACTTTAAAAAATACACTGATTTATTTTAAATGGTATAAAGTTATCAAGTCTGTTAATTTGCATTCTATTAACCAAAGAATTGATAACCACATTCTTTTTTTTTTTTTTTTTAAATATATTTTATTGATTTTTTACAGAGAGGAGGAGAGAGCGATAGAGAGCTAGAAACGTCAATGAGAGAGAAACATCAACCAGCTGCCTCTTGCACACCCCCTACTGGGGATGTGCCCGCAACCAATGTACATGCCCTTGACCGGAATCGAACCTGGGACCTTTCAGTCCGCAGACCGACGCTCTACCACTGAGCCAAAACTGTTCCGACGATAACCACATTCTTGGAATTTGGAAAAGATTGCCTTATTGAAAACTATTTTCTAAAAGATGTTGGCCTACAATTTACAGTTTATTCTTTTTTAAGATAGCCCCTATTCTTAGGAAGCAAGATCGTTGTATTAGTAAAAAAAACAAAAAACAACAACAAAAAAACCCACTAGTATTTTAATTGCTTGAAAGCAATATAGGGTTAGGTCTAGAGAATTTGAGAAACAGTAAAAATGAGCTGTCTTCAGGAAGTTACTTATTTAAGTAAAGTTCATATATTTGTTTTAATAGCTAAGAAGGTACAGATTTAAAAAACCTGGATACCTCTGAACCACATATTTGAAATGATGATTTTATAGTGACTAAGGTTCTGTGGATAGAATGCAGACAACTTGGTGTGGATTCTAAAACTCAAAAGAAAACTACTTGCTCTTAACTTTGCTCTAACTTGCTGTGTGACCTTGGGGAGACGACTTAATCTTCCTGAACTTTGGCTCCCTTATCTTTGAAATGAGTGAGTTGAGCTAAATGATTTCTAAATCCTTTAGGTTTTTAAATCCATGAGTCTAGCCTGCTGCTAGATTTGGTATTTGGGAAGACTGAAGATGAGACTGCATAATAACTTTATGTGCAAAATTTCCTAGGTTTATTTTCTACCCAATTTCTGAGACTTAAACTTTAAGGTTTTATTTTTACCATAGGTTTTGCTTGGTTAGGCATTTACTAGTATCACAGAGGACATCTATAATAATAAAAGGGAAAAATGCTAATTAGACTGGACATTATGCTGGACATCCTTCTTGACAAAGCCAGGGCCGGAGGGAAGCTGGCCAGGGTCCTGGTTGCCTGTAGGCGGCAGGAAGAGGGAAGCAGCCTGGGTCCTGGGTGCCTGCAGCCGGCTGGAGGAGGGAAGCAGCCCAGGGCTCAGGTTCCAGGTGCCGGAGGGAAACCAGTGCTGGAGGGAAGCCAGTGCCAGTAGCTGGGGGAAGGAAGGCCTACTCTTGCATGAATTTTCATGAATCAGGCCTCTAGTAGTTATATAAGTGCTTTGTACATTATGAGTATATGTTGCTTATACAACTTTTTAAGTTTATGGATACCTAAATATTTACCCTATAAGGTTATATAGTTATTATTTGGAGTGACCTTTGATCACATGCTAGTTAGGTGTACTAATTCAATTGAAAACAGTTTTAAAAAAAATAGATTTTTATTGATTTTAGAGAGAGAAAAAGAGAGGGAGAGAGAGACACATCAATGAGAGAGAAACATCAGTTAGCTGCCTCCTGCACGCCCCTCCACCTGGGATTGAGCCTGCAACCCAGGCATGTGCCCTGACTGGGAATAGAACTGGTGTCCTCTTGGTGTATGGGACAACGCTTAACTAACTGAGCCACAACAACCAGGACAAAAAACAATTTTTATATTTAGGTTATAGAAGGCCCTTGTAAACCATCTTTCTCCATTGATGGTTTTGCTATCTAGAAAAACGAAATGAGTCAGTGATCCCGAGGCTACTAAAATGCATTAGCTTTTTCTTTAGAGCTAAAATATTAAGTTGATGATTGTGATTTGTTTCAATACTTGAGTTATTATTTTTATTCATATCTGAAATGAAGTGAACTTCAAAATAAAACATAGGCATTGCCAGAGAATGTGTAGATTTATTTTTCTATGGACTAGTGATCATTTTTTGTCATCATTGGCTGTTACTACTTTTATAGGTAGTATATTTAACATATGTTCTCCTTCCCAAAATTAATCTTTTTTGTCATATCAAAGTGCTAAATAGATTTGTGGTCCTAATTGTGGGCTGGTGGTCAGGCACATTATTTTGACCTGCCTTTGACTCATTCCAGTAGTGTTTATTGCTCATTGACCAAAGTAAGTATTTAGAGTTCTTTTGTCGAATAGCGCTACTTCCTAGAGTTTCAGGGTCTTCTCTTATTTCAGTTTACACTAATATTTTGATTTCTGATTTGGTTGGTTAGGTTTTGAGCCTGTAGTGATAGAGAATGTTTTAGAAGGTGATGAGCTGCGCACAGACCTGAAAGCAGTAGAAGCTAAAATCCAGGAACTTGGGTCTGATAACGTGCTTTGTGTTCATTCTACTACATCCTGTTTTGCTCCAAGGGTACCTGACAGGTAAATGATTTGTGAATATTGTCCTTCAGGTATTCATCAGTCTTTTATGTATTTATTTATTTTAAATATATTGTTTATTGATTTCTGAGAAGAAGGGAGAGGGGGAGAGAGAGAGAAACATCAATGATGAGAGAGAATTGATCGGTTGCCTCCTGCCCACCCCATTGGGGACCGAGCCCGCAACCTGGGCATGTGCCCTTGGCTGGAATCAAACCTGGGACCCTTCAAGTCTACAGGCCGACACTTTATCCACTGAGCCAAACCGGCGAGGATTTCATCAGTCTTTTAAATTATATATATATATATATATATATATATATATATATATATATATATTCACACACACACACACACACACACAAACACACACTAATTTTCAAAGATGCTTAAGTAACATTTGGCAGTAAATAGGTGAATGGACTGTCCCAAGAGAATTGATTGATCTTGCTGAGATACAGTATCATCTCTTGAGAAAATAAAAATTTAATATAGAGGAGGAAAAAGCAACTAGTACCAAGTGGAGATTCATTTCTCACCTACGTTGATGCAGAGCATCTGTTTTCTTGCTCTTTTTTCTGTTTTTAATTTCTTGGCATCTTTTTCCTCATTATGAAATAGAAGTTTCTAAACAAAACGGTGAGTTTACTTGTTTTCATTGTTATCTCCACTCCTTTGATCTAACAGTTCTCCTATGTAGGAACTATCATTAGTAACAGAAAATTTTAGAATTATTTGTGGCCCTTTGAATATTTTTTAATTGGGAGATTAATCCAGATGTACTCTTGAGTATATACAGTGGTTGCCTTTGCATTCTGAGAGAAATACAAATGTTTAAGAAAATAAAAGCAAAGGGGAAAAAAAGCAAATGTTTACTTTTCTAAAGGATGGCCACAAATTTTTTATTTGCAAATGTAATATGCTTAGTTATAGGAATACACATTTCTAGTTTTTGTTTCATTTTAACATTTTGAATAGAAATGCTATTAATTTGTAAAAATTTTGACTTTGTACTATTTTTGAAGCACCAAGTTATACTTTGGTTTCCATGGTATTATGTAATTTGGCAGTAATGAATGCATTTTGACTTTTACTATCTAATATGTGGACTTTAAGAGACAATTTTAAAACCATGCTCTTGAAAATTTGCCTTGCTCCAATCATGAGTCTGTGAATTTTATTTTAAGATTATATTGCAAAGAATACAAGAATTAATAATAATAAAAGGATAAACTGTTTCACGAACTCACAATTATAAACCTAGTTTTGCCCCACCTTGTATTGTATATACTTTTTTATTACTTACCAATCATATTTTAAATTTACATTGAAATATTAAGCATCTCTCTTCTTCATTGATGGTTTTGCTATCTAGAAAAAGTTTTAATGTGGTAGAAATAAATCACATTTCCAAAAACAGCATATGGATATTTGTTAGATTATTTATCCTTGAGGATAATATTGTTTTTTGTCTCATTTGGACTAACTCTTTTTGGATGTTTACTGTATGCCTGATGCGGTATTAAGTATTTTACATGTATGAAGATTTTTATCAGTAAAATTCTCATATACCACTTTTTAATGGTACTATATGGTGAGTGTTTCTTACAAGAGAGAACTTTAGGAAAGTGGTGATGCATTGTTATTAGTAATATGTTTGAATTTCTGATTTTATTAAATTAAAACATTTTGATGTCTTTACATTAAGCTTAATTTTTTTGTAGCCTTAATTTGGATGGGTAGATACTGTCTTTATTAGTTCATTAATTGGACAGAAAGCATTGTGGTGCCAGACCTCGGACTGGGTTAGGGAACTAGGGGTGGGTGGTGGTAAACACAGCCCCTTTCCCATAGAGGCTGAGTGCCGGCTTCCTCTTTGGGGCTGGTGGCCATCCTCCTGCACCCCGTCACTCCCCCTGTTGCTTCCTCCAGCTGGCAGGCCCCAGTCGGCCTGGCACCAGTTGGCCCTGATCTCTGGCGGCCTAGGGACCTCATCCGTGCACAAATTTTGTACACTGAGCCTTTAGTTACTAGGTGTACCTGTTAATAATGCGTATTTTGTAATCAAATAAAACACGATAATTTTAAGAGAAACATCAAAATTGCTTTATTCAAAGTAATGTTCATTGCTAGCTGTACATTTCCCCCATCTTTAGGTAATTTTGGACATCTTTCCCAATAGAACTTTTCTTGTTTTGAGGCAAACCATTCAGAGACCCAATTTTCCACTTCATCGTGCGTTTTGAAGTGCTGCTCAGAAAGCGCGTGTGCTATGAATCGGAACAAGTGGTAATCTGAAGGAATAAGGTCTGATGAATACGGCTGGTGGGTTAACACTTCTCAGGCAAGATCTTTTAACGTTTCTTTAACTGGTTTTGAAGTGTGTGATGGTGCGTCATCATGAAGCAAATTTACTTTGCCGTGTCTTCTGGCACATTCTGGTCAGTTCACAATCAAAGCGTGGTTCAAATTGATTATTTGTTGTCGGTAGTGATCAGTATTAATGGTTTCACCTGGTTTTAGAAGCTCATAATACACCACACCTTCCTGATCTCACCAAACACAGAGCATTATCTTCTTTCCGAAGCAATTTGGCCTTGCAGTCGGTGTTGATGGTTTTATGCATTTGGGCTTCTCAAAATGAATCCACTTTTCATTGTCAGTCACCATTAGATGCAAAAAAAACTTTCTTTTATGCAATTGAAGCAACATTTTACTGATGACTTTTCTGTTTTTCATTTGTTTTTCATTCAGTTGATGTGGCACCCATTTTTCTTCCTTTAAAATCTTTCCCATTGCTTGTAAAAGGGAATTGTTTGCTGAACAAAGTTTAATCTTTCTGCAAGTTGTTTTTGAGTTTGACAAGCATCTTCATTCAATAATGCTTGTAATTGTTGGTCTTCATGTGTTTTTGGTTGACCTGGATGTTATCTTTCACATCGAAATCATCACTTTTAAAACGTTTAAACCAGCATTCTTGAGATGGAGCATATTCACCCGAAGTATACAATAACATAACTTTCAGCAGCATGTTTTTTCAAAATAAAGTAATGAATTAAAACTTAACACAAATGCTCTTTTTTTGGCATGAAATTCGACATTTTTAAGCATAAAAATATCTATGATGTTAACACCTTCAGCAAATTTGACATGAAATTTTGAAGCTCGCTGTCAATACAACAAAATAACATACATATCAAATTGCATATATTATATATCAACATATGTGTAACTTCATCTATTGAAAAAAATCCTCATTATTAACTGGTACACCTAGTATATGCTAAATATTGCTGTAGAAATTTCATTTTTGTCATCTTTTCCTCGTGAGCATTAACAATAACTATTATATGCCGAAACCGGTTTGGCTCAGTGGTGGAGCGTCGGTCTGCGGGCTGGGGGGTCCCAGGTTCGATTCCGGTCAAGGGCATGTGCCTGAGTTGCGGGCACATCCCCAGTGGGGGGTGTGCAGGAGGCAGCTGGTCGATGCTTCTCTGTCATCGACGTTTCTAGCTCTCCCTTCCTCTCTGTAAAAAATCAATAAAGTATAAAAAAACAAAAAACAAAACAAAAAACAATAACTATTATATTACTTTTCACACTGTAATTTATAAAAGCATAATATGAATGTGTCTTTCTATTGAATATCGATGTTTGTAGATTAGAAGAACTGGCTCTGATTTGTGCTTCTTATGGTGTTCCACATATAGTCAACAATGCTTATGGATTGCAGTCTTCAAAGTGTATGCACCTCATTCAGCAGGTAAGAGAATTTTAAAAATATGTCAAGGAAAGAAATGGATTTTAACATATATGATTAATCCTTTGTTTTTCTTGCAATCTAATATTGTAAAAAACAGTTATCTAGCACCCTCTATCTTATGGAGTGTTAATAATTTGCCTACAATAATCATTCAGTAAGAGTTATTTTTTGGTAGTATGGTAAGGTGACCAGATGTCTCACTTTTGGCGGGACAGTCCCGATTTTTAACAATTTGTCCTGAGTCCTGCGGCGTTTTAAAGAACTCCCGATTTTTGGAAAGAAAATGCTCTATCCACTGAGCACACCAGCTAGAGTGTCACAGTTCCTTTAAATCAAATAAGTATTTGGATCTTGTTGAGTACTGGTTGCTGTTTTATGCCATTCTAAAAATAAAAATGAGTTAGGTTTAATTTTTCCCAATAGTTCTCATTAGTAATATATACTATTTACTCATTACCCACCATGTGCCAGGCATCCTGTTAGACTTTTCAAGTTTGTTAGCTTAACCTACTAATTTAAAGTGTACTTCTTATTGTTTTCATTCTACAAATGAAGCAAACTCAGCTGGATTTAGTGACTTGCCTAAGATCTGAAGCTTTTATTTTGCTCTAAAAGACAAAGTACTAAAACTGCAGATACTTTCTTGGGAAGCATGTATTACAATAATGAGGCAACCAGTGAAGCAAGAGCTATAACTAAAATGTGTCAGGATTCTCTTTTTTTAAGGGGCAGTGTCCCCAAATGACTTAATGCTGAACATACAGAACATTCTATATGCACATGTAGTCCCAGGAAGTTAGCTTTGCAGAACCTATACTTACGATTATATACTGAACTGACTAATTCAGGATACTCAAGGAATACGAATGTTAAGACAACTTAATGGAGAGTGGGGGATATAGTAGAACTACAAAAATACATATAATTAATTCAGTCATTTAGAGTCCAAATGGATTATAAAGATCCAAAGTGTAGGAAGCAGCAACTTTACATGTTAAGAATTTGAGAGACGTAGGTCTTATACTACTTATTCATGGACCTAATTGTCAGTTCACTAAACAGATATTTACAAGGTTCCCACTGATGTGCCTGGCAACAGGATAGGTGCTAGGGATGCAGTAGTGAGTATAGCAAAATCATGTCCTCATGGAGCAGAAGCAGACAGTAAACAATAAGTGTGACAGTCTTGGTTAATGCCCTCATCTTTTGGGGGGTGGGGATGTCAGTAGATGGAGTGATCCAGGATCCTCTCCTGGAATCAGACAGTTGGGAATCTGAGTATGTGGAGGACCAACTTCAGTTATTCTCCACAGTCAGTACCCCTAACCCCTGCATTATTCAAGAGTCAGCGGTTAGTATTATTCACTGCTGCTATCCCCAGAACCTAGAACAATGTTTGGCAAATGTTAAGTGCCCACATATTTGTTCTATGAATAGATAAGTAAATGGATGAACCGATAAATGACAACTCTTTACTTCATAGAACATACTTCTGTGTTTCCTATTCTATTTAATCACTTCCATTCTTCAAATCTTTTTTCCTGCTCTTTGATAATCGAACATGAGGTCTATGTACTCTTCCTGGGATTAGATCCAGCCTGTCTTTCCTTGCCTCAGACTGGCTGCCCTTTCAGGGCTTTCTGTATTTACTGGTGAAGGGGCTTTAGCAAATTCTGGTGCTCTGATTGTTCTTGGTGATTCTGCTCCCAATTGAGGTTCATATTTCTCCCAGGAAGCCTTGGACAGTAGTACTTAAATGTTCATAAAAGGTGACTGTAACTTCCACTTTGTTTTACGTAATAATTTTGCATGTTTTTCAGTTATTAGTCTTACATGCTTCTGTTTTCCTGTGATGTGAGATTCTCTCTGATCACAGTTTACGAGGAATTGGAGGAGTAATGGGAAGGTGGAGACTTAATCATGTGAGAGCCTGCAGCCTTTGCAGCTTCTCTCTGTTGCCTGGATCTGGTCTCCGAGATTAGACCAGCTCTCTGCTGCTTCCATTCTTTCTGAGATATGGACGTGGAGAGAAAGTGTGAAGCTGAAGGTCAAAGACGGCTATATTAATAGAAATGTAGATTCTGAATACAGATTGAAAATCTGTCCCCACAGATAAAGCAAATAAACTATCTTAGTTGAAATTTAGATAGTATCTCTATTTTTAAGAGGAGAAAATTGAAGCACATTAGACAGAAGGTCATAGACTGTGTTGGATGGGGACTGTGTCGGTTTTATATTTCTGGTAAGTAAGTATTCAATTTTTCACCAGAATATTAGATTTTCATTTGAAGTTCATTTGCAGTGGAATGAGATCATCTAAGATGATAACATTAGGAATCATGAGTTAATGTAGAAACATTGCCAAGAGTATACAAAAAAAAAAAAGCCATTAAGTGATGTTAAAAATAAAAATTTCTTATTCTCTTTTGTTATCTGAGTGGTGGTAGGAGCAGAATTATTGCTTTGAGTGATCATGCAGTTAGTAGGTTATCTAAGAATCAAAGAGAGGCACTTCAATGTTGTAGCTAATTGATTGGCAGTGTGGGTGGCTGCAGTCCATTAGATTATGGTGGCCACTCTTAACCTCCCAGAGGGTGCCTACAATTACTTAATAGTTTTAGGGCCCACTGATGACATTTATTGCCTAATAGAAGATCAGAGATGAGAGGCACAGTGGAATCCACACTCTAATACCCAATTTTAAGGTGAAAAGCTCAGTTTTAATGTAGTTTCCACCTGAACTAATATTGAAACACTGCCTTTCCCACAGTGTTGTTGTGAAGATTCAATGATTTTTGTGTGAAAGCAGGCTGTAAACTATAAAGTGCTCTTACACATGTAAGGCAGAGCATTTAAAAACTCAGTTTAATACTTAAAATATATTACGGGCACTTTTGCAAATAAATAATTTATTTTCTGCATTACTTTAATGGTATTTATTTATTAATAGCTACTGTTGTCTCTTCTTCTAGAAATTAATATATAATACTACATGTTATTTCATTTTAGGGCGCTCGGGTTGGAAGAATAGATGCTTTCGTTCAGAGCTTGGACAAAAATTTTATGGTTCCAGTAGGTGGCGCTATAATTGCTGGCTTTAATGATTTCTTCATTCAGGAAATCAGCAAGATGTATCCAGGTAAATAAATTAGTTGCTCTTCAGAAAAAGTACCTAATAAACAAAAATCCATTTGTACATAGACTACTATAATAAATCTGAATTTCCAAAGCTTTTTTACTCTCCTGAGTGTGACTTGTTCTTATTTCAGGAAGAGCTTCAGCTTCACCTTCTTTAGATGTCCTTATTACTTTATTATCACTTGGATCAAATGGCTATAAGAAGCTATTAAAAGAAAGAAAGGTAAGCTGTTCCTTTTAGCTATAAAATAATCCTCCTGACTAGGACTGCACTCTAAATCATTAGTGTTTTTGCCTATTGGTTTGTCACTTTGGACAATAGATATCTAGTACAGTCCTACAGGATATACTTGATCTGGAACTACAATAGGTCGTTTGCAATTAGTCATTGTCATCCTGTTTATCTAGATACTTTGAGGAGTCTTGGACAGGTGATTTTGCTTTTTCTGTTTATCTTGAGAAACTCCTACATCAGGGATTCTTATTAGTTCAGTAAAATTCAATTCATTTATCATTTAGATAGAGGTTCTTGAAAGACAAATGGTAAAGGCTTTTCTTTTTTGTTTTTGGAAGCCTGGAGACTTGTTTAGGCATGAGACATCAGTCAAAGGAGGAAGAACCAGGTCAGAAGTTGGCCAGTTTCTTATTCTAAAATAATAAATTTATCCCTTGCTGTTATTATTGGAATGTTGAACTCATTGGTTATATTGACTTTGAAAAGAAAAGTGACATTTGTGCTTGAAAACTGGGCTTTGTCTCTGACACTAACAACTAGCTTAATTCAGGACAGCTCTAAAACTGTAGACAGAGACAGTATTGGCAGGGTGAGTCAGACTAAGATGATTCAGTCATTTCTCTTCTGGGAGAACTAGAGGTCTCTGGTGCAATGTTGGTGTCTGAATAACTGTTTAGTATTGAGTAGCAATTATAGCACCTTGGATTTTCTAATAATACTTTACATATTTTTAAATATTTTTATCTATATTATCAGGTAGATCCTCTCAACAGCTTTATGAATATGACTAAGTTATAAAGTTTTTGTGCCCTGTTTTACCCTAGTTCCCCTACCCCACTTATTCATTCTGTAGGAAAGTAATTATTTACTTGTGAGGATATCTCTTAAAATTTACATGAATAGGAAAAGATGCTAAGTATTATTAGTCATTAGGGAAATGCAAATTAAATCCACAGTGAGATACCACTATGTACACACCTATTAAAAGGGCTACTATTAGCCGGGACCGGTTTGGCTCAATGGATAGAGCGTCGGGTTGGGGACTGAAGGGTCCCGGGTTCGATTCCGGTCAAGGGCATGTACCTTGGTTGCGAGCACATCCCCAGTAGGGGGTGTGCAAGAGGCAGCTGATCGATGACTCTCATCGATGTTTCTAACTCTCTATCTCTCCCTTCCTCTCTGTACAAAATCAATAAAATATATTTAAAAAAAAAAAAAGGGCTACTATTAAAAACAACAGCAGCTACCTGACACTATTAAATCTTGGCTGAGATCTCAAGTAAGTAGAACTCAGACATTGCTGATGGTACAGCAACTTTGGAAAACACTTTGGCAGCTTCTTATAAAGTTTAACGTTCACATGTAAACTAACCATCCTATCTCTTACTACTTACTCAAGAGAAATGAGAATTTATGTCTGTATAAAAATATAGACATCAATGTTTATAATGATTTTATTCTTAATTGCCAAAACCTGGAAATAACTCAAATGTCCATCATCTGGTGTATAAACAAACTATGGTACATACATACACAGCAATAAAAAAGAACAGGCTTACTAATATATTCAACAGCATAATGATTCTCAAATGCTGCACTCTGCTAAATGAAATAAATCAAACTCAAAAGTTCTGCATTTTTAAAAATCTTAAAATTTTTTTTTAAAAGCTCTTCATATATTTTTTATATGGTTTCATTTATATGCCATGCTGGAAAGGCAAAAAACATCAGGACAGAAAAAAGATGAATGGATGCCAGTGACTTGGGTTGGGGGAGGGAACTATTGTGACAAATTGTAGAAGTAGTTTCATGACTGTTAGTATGTTTCCAAAATTAATAGAAGTGGACACCTGAAAAGTGGACATTTGAAATTTTACTGTATGTAAATTAATCCTTGATAATCCTGAGGAAATTTTTTTTAAATGATTAGAATAGAACTCCAGTTTGATAAACGCCATAAAGTAATCATCATGACCATAGATTGTAATAGCCAAGAGAAGACCTCAAAATCTTCAAGGAACCTTCTCAAAGGACAGATGAAGCTTTTGTTTGTAGGTGAGGTAAACTGTCACCTCAAAGTTTAGTTGTATCAGAAACCAGTGGGTCTTAGCTCTTTCCTAAATAGTTGTTTCACTATGAAAAAGGTACTTGAATTCGCAGATTTTATTTTCTTGTTTGTGAAAGAATCACCTGTCTCAGACCCCTTCCTGTTTTAAAAGACTGTAAATATTTCTTAAAATAAAATAGTTATTTCCTGGGCCATGCCATTATAATCATGGTAATTGGCATATAATTTAACAATCGAGTACAAATCACGTTGGTAATTTATAAATCAAACATTTTGTAAGTTGAACAATTTAAGATGATGGTCTCTTCAATTTCATGGTACCTCATACCCATTTCTACCCCTATCAGATGTGAAGATGCAGCTCTCTTTATAACACCCAGAACAAAGTTCTTTATTTTTCTTTTAATATATTTTATTGATTTTTCACATAGAAGAAGGGAGAGGGATAGAGAGTTAGAAACATTGATCAGCTGCCTCCTGCACACTCTATACTGTGGATGTGCCTGCAACCAAGGCACATGCCCTTGACCAGAATCGAACCTGGGAACCTTCGGTCCTAGTCCACATGCTGATGCTCTGTCCAATGAGCCAGACTGGTTAGGGCTGTTCTTTTCTTTTGATTTAGATAGAGTAGAGTGAAATAAACAAAAAGAGAATAAGTATAGGATTATAGCTACCGGGTATTAGCGTGAGTTTATAGGGGTCCTGCTAGCTAAAGTTAGTTATTTTAACTTGAAACCTCTTTTAGGCTAAGGGAAAAGTAGGTGGATGGGGAAAGCATTTTTATGAATGTATGCTGTATTCCAGAAACTCTGCTAGGTTTATTATATTCATTATTTCATATTACTCAGAGTAAGTTTCTGAGGTAGGCATTATCCCATTTTACAAATGGAATTGAGGCTCAGAAAAGTTAAGTACTTACTCAGGGATCACATGTAAGTGCCAGAACTGCCATTAAAACTCAGGTTAGTGTGGTGCTAATGTCTCTGTTTGCTCTCTGATCACTCTGCTCTCACCGTGTCCAGTATCAGGGGAGTGCTTGCCTGCTTTGTACTAGGCACTTGAGCCATAAAAAAAAACAACGGTTATCTTGTGACTGCCCCTTTCTTATCTAGTGGAGGTGTGTAAAATCCCAAAGGCTCTATTCTGTGTTAATTGGTTTTATTTAAAATTCTTCAATAGAGAATTAGAATACAGATTATCTGCAGTAATAGCCTTTTAGTATTAGAATGCTCATTTGAGAACTCTGTCACTGTAAGTGAATAAAATTGTTCTTTACAACTTCATTCAACAGGCAGGCTTTTTCATTGAAAAATGTCGATGTCCTCCATAAACCATAATTACATATATGTAGCATAAATATTGTTTTTTTTTTTTATTGGATTTGTTGCAGAAGTAATGTAAGGTCAGGCCTGTTTCTAACTGCCCGGGAAACGGCCAAGAGATTGCAATCTCAACCTTATGTTTGCATTTCCCCAGGCCAATTTGCCAATTTCCCCAGGCCACCTGGGTGTGGTTTCTGCCTATAAAAGCTTGTAACTAACCTCTGTTCAGGGCTCTCAAGCGGCAGTCTTTTTCTGGACTGCTGCTTGTGGGTCCCTGCGCAGCGCTTGGAATAAACCTCCTGCTCTTTGCATCAAGACTCGGGCTCTGCGTTTGATTTGGGGTCGCCGCTCATCCTTTGGACCGGGGGTCTTTCAGGCCTTACAGTAAGAGCCTCTATTGTTTAAATGGACTTGCTTTTGAACTGTGAAAATTTAATCGTGATAGTTTATTGGTTCAGCTCTGGAGAAGCTGAGGCAAAGCTATTTTGTTCCAGCCAGAGCTATTTATATACCATCACCGAGAGCTCCTTTTTATATTATCGGCGTTATTGCATACTAAAAAAAGGAGTGTTAAAAGAAAACTTGGAATTTTTTTATTCTGTGCCCTTATTCACCACAATGATATTTTTAGAGGGCATTTTATCTAGTATATCTTTTCAGAAAAGGCTTTATCTTTCTCAGAGTAGAGGCAGACAAGAACTCAGCTTGAAGCCATTCCTTCTCAAGCTGTCTCTTTTGAAGGGTGAAAGGATCAGAGGAAGTGAAACTATGCCTGTGAATTGAGCCTCTTTGCCCTCAGCCCCTTCTGGACCATCACAGTTGCTTCATTGACGGGAGAAATGACCAGGAATTTAACTGAAACAGCCTTCAAGGGAAGGGGTTAAATTTAAGAGACTGTTTCTTTGAATTTCTCTAAGCAAACAGATAGATCAGTCTTATAAGTTTATCCTTACCTGTTTTGCTGGAGAAGGCCATTATTCTGCTTAGCTTTCCTTTTAGAAGAGTGCTTTGTTGACAGGTCAGGCAGGTAATCATAGTTGCAAATATCTGCTGAATTGGACAAGTGCAGAAGAGGATGGCAGCGAATGGCTGCTCCAGGGGCTGGAATTTGTTGGTTGACACTTGGAGGACAAACTACAATACATTATAAAAGAACATCAGGCATCTAGACCAAACAATGTTCTATAGCAAAGCTGGGTTTGGAAACATTAGAAGTTCTGCAGTCCTAAACGTGGAGTCATTGAATCTCAACAGCATGTGACCTGTTCGTGGGCCACAACAGAAGTGTTTGAAAGCTGTACTTTAGCCTGGGATGCAAAGACTGCCAAGTGTGCCTGGATCCTTTAATTTGGCCACAATCATAGAGACACATTGCATTGTACTGTTATCTTCAAATATGGACATCTTTGCATGGATATCTACCTATAGCCCATTGTCTATCCACCCTTTCATGTTATCAGTGAAAGATGAGACTATTTGTTTGTTTTCCTTTTGATGTATTACCCACCTTATGAGGCGTACTGTAGTAATATGCAAGGTTCTATTTATATCTTATGCTGAATATGAAACAATATGTATTAAAAACATGATTACATAAGACCCTTTTCATTAAAATTTAGTGAATTATGCACAACTTTGGGTTATGGGGAGGGATAGGCTGAATGTTGGGCTTTATGACTGCAAATCGTTTACAAAAGGCCATAGGAAAGGTAATGCTTAATATAATTCAACCTCCCCTCCATTAACATCTTGAACTATGGTATAAAGTTTTGTATTTTTATTCTGAAAATATAGCTGACATTAGCATTCGGGTATACAGCTCAGTTTATCTGTAGTGAAGAGTCTTTTAAAATTAAGTTAAATACAGCAAAAATGACATAGAAAATCAATAATATTTCATTTCTTTTAAGTACAATCTCTCTATATATATTTGCTTGGGGTGCTAATAAATTTCCCCCTTTACAGAAGTATTTTATAATAAATGTCAGTTATAGATTTAACTGTAGCAAAAAAAAAAAAAAAAAAGGCAAGCAGGTTCTTTAGTGCCTTTAATATATCAGGGGAAAACTGCTTAGCTAAGTATTAGTGTAGGAAATAGTGGTACACTCTCCTAAACGATCTATTTTAAAGGTAGTGATATTATTGGGAGAACATTTAGGACCTTAATGTATGGAATATCCTAGGATTCAGTATATTGTGCTTTCAGATAATTTAAGCCTATTTGCTTATTGGATTACCTCATAACCCTTTACACAGACTACAGATACTGTAAATATTTGCAGATGGATTTGAACTTGATTCATAAATTTTTTTTCTGATTATTCCCATAGTAGTGATATCAGATTTAGTTACCTTAGTATTATGCTTACTGTTTAAAGATTTTTGTCCTAATGTTAGCTGCAGTCAAAACTGAATTTTAGTGGTATTAGCAAGTGATTGATAGAACTAATTTAGTTAAAACTGATGTGTTAAAGTGTTTTCCCAATTGAACATTGGGAAAAATCTCAGTTTTTTAATTAACACGTATGCAGTAATAAGTTTAAAAGCACCACTAGGGGTGTTACTAAGGAAACATTTCCTCTCATTTTAGAAGTAGCTAACTACAAATTAAGTTGATTCTTGAACAATATGGGGATTAAGGGTGCCAACACCCCGTGCAATCAAAAACCCAATGTATAATTTTTGATTCCCCTAAAACTTAACTACAGTGGGCCGTTGGTATCTGTGGGTGACTGGGTCTGTGGTGATTGGTTCTAGGACCCCTCCCCTCATATCAAAATCAGCAGATGCCCACATCCCTACCTATATATATGGACATAGAGCAATGTATACAGTAGGCCCTCCGTATCCACAGATTTCGAACCATGGGTTGAAATACTTTTTTCGGCTTGTAGTTGGTTTAATTGTGAATGTGAACTTGTGATACAGAAGGCCAACTGTATTTATTGAAAACAATTTGCATGTAAGTGGCTTTGTAGAGTTCAAATCTGTGGTGTTCAAGGGTCAGCTGTGCTCTGTAAGTGTGACCACATTGGTGATTATTGTGGCAGCCATAGTAGGTAGAATAATATTTTAAATTGGTGTTCAATTCTAAAATGTGTTTGTTTTTTGTTTCTATTGGGGGTGCGAAATGTAGGAGTCTGTGAAAGGTATTTCTGGACTTTCAGGCTTATTTCTGCTGAGAGTTTGATTTAAAAGACAGTAAGAGAGACAGGTGCAGATTAAGACTTAGGCGTATAATAGAGATGAAGAAAATCAATAACTAAATTAAAATGTGACTTTTTAAAAAACTGGTGCTGAAAGATTGTGAATAGTTTCAGTTGTTGAAAAATTCTTAACTCCTTCTATTTTACTGTTTCACCTTCTGAAGTGAATATTGAAACTAGTTTAAGAAGGAGGGGTCAGAAATTTTTATATCTCTAAGAAAAGATAGCTATCGCAAGTGTGGTGATGGCTAAGGGGAGGCGTCTGGCGAGGGTTGGGAGGAAGTGGGTGAAGTGAGGAGGGAATGAAAACATCTCTAACAGGGTCAACAATAAAAAGTAAAAAAAAAAAAAAAAAAAAGATATCTACCACAACTTTTTTTTTCTGTTTCTGGTGATAACTTTTGTCTCCTTAAATATTTCTCTACATGTTCAATAGATATGACAAATGTGGATGTTAACTTTTTAAATATAAAGAAGTCAATTTCTTTTTGTGACCTAAGATTTCATATTTCTTACATGCTGAGATTAATCTTATACCCTAAAAATTCAAGAACAACAATTAGCTAAAAAAAATTTCAGGTCAGAATATAAAATAAACTGTGTCAATGTTGTTTTGTGGTCTTTAGTAGAGTCATTAATCCTATATAATAAAGAGGTGATATGCAAATTGACTGCCATGCCATCGCACAAGATGGCTATCCCCATGTGGTTACAAGATGGCCACCCCCATGTGGTCACAAGATGGTCATCACAAGATGGCTGGCAAGGGATGGCAGTTGGGGGCAAACAGGCCAGCAGGGGAGGGCGGTTAGGGGTGAATGGGCTGGCAGGGGATGGCAGTTGGGGGGACTGGGCATGCAGGGGAGGGCAGTTAAGGATGACCAGGCTAGCAGGGGAGTGATTAGGGGACAATCAGGCTGGCAGGTTGATGCTCTATCTAGTGGTTAGGGGCAATCAGGCATGCAAGCAGGTGAGCGGTTGGTAATCAACAGTTCCAGATTGTGAGAGGGATGTCTGACTGCCAGTTCTTCAGGATCAGTCCTAAACTGGCAGTTGGATATCCCCCGAGGGGTCCAAGATTGGAGAAGGTGCAAGCTGGGCTGAGGGACACCCTCCTCCCGTGCCCCCTCCACGTGAATTTTGTGCACCGAGCTCCTAGTAATTTATAGACTTGGTAGAAATTTTTCTCTTCTCCTAATCTTTACCTAACCAAGGAAGGAGTTAGTTGTCTATGTGGTTTAAACATAAGAAAAGTTATTCTGAGTCTCGGTGTGGGATCACGCTCTGCAACCCTTACAGAAAATGGAAGCAGCTTTTGTGACCTTTGAAATTAGAGAAGTACCATTTCCTGCCATTTCCACATCAGGGTACTCTGCTGGCCTGGGGCTCCTAGTTGTATCTTTAGACATTATAGGTTTTGACTTTGGCTGGAGGAGGTCAGTGCAAATGGGTTGTTCAGGAGCAGACTTTTGTGGACAGATTTTCATTTCAAGACTTTGGAAAGGGCTAACTAGGAGAAAAAAGTATAATTTTAGGTCAAACAGTTGCCAATTTAATATTTATATGTAACTTGGTTGAACTCCCACTTCTTTCATGTGCACATGAAATTTTGTACTTATAAAATATTTTTACTTTATTTTCTACTATTACCGTGTTTCCCCGAAAATAAGACCTAGCGCATAGAAAAATAAGACATCCCCTGAAAATAAGATCTTGCGCATCTTTAGGAGCAAAAATTAATGTAAGACACTGTCTTATTTTCGGGGAAACAGGGTAGCTATGCATTGTTCTTTAGAGTAGGATCATGAATATAATATTAGTTTTTAGTTGCTCTATTTTTAAATTGAGTTTAGAGAATTTTTAATATTAAGTTTATATGATTTAAAAGAAATGCATTTTAAAACTACCTCTTCCTAAGTTACTTACATTCTAAAAGCTTGGCACATTTTTCTTGGTGTTGAGGAAATAGTGGTGAAGAAGTCAGAGTCCTTCCTTTCAAGGAGATTTTCGATTCTAGTAAATTGTCATAAGCAGTATTTGTTTAAGCAAATACATGAGATAATTTCAGATTGTGATAAATAATGGTGTTGGAATGAGATTGAGCATTGAGAATGGACAGAGTTGTTGAGCAACTTTTATGGGGAAGTAATAAAGGAAGGTCTCCTTAGTCTGTGTCTAAAGGGACCACTCATGGAATGACTGGAGAAGAGCTTCTGAGTCCAGGGGAAGCAGGCATGAAGGTGTGACACTAGAATGAGCTTGGCATGTTCAGCTGTTGGAAAGGAGGCCGATGTGTCTGGCACAGTAGTAAGTGGCACAGTAGTAAGTTGCTGAGTTGTGCTTGTGGGCTGAGCCAGATCGTTCAGGGCCTTCTGGGTGAAGAGTTTGTATTTTTATACTTACAGGAGGTAGTCATTGGGAGGAACATGGTCTGAATTATGCTTCTGAAAGACCATTCTGTGTGTAGAACAGATTGTCCAGGGGCTGGAAAGGCGGCAGGGAAATCATTTAGAATGTACCGTTGTGGTCCAGGGCAGAGATCGACAGCTACTTGGCCTAGAGCAGGAGCCCTGGAGGTTCTGAAAAGAGGATGAAATTGTGACGGATACATGATAGCCCCAAAGCAGGAAATGTGCTGGTTCATCGTCTTCTTTACCTAAATCCTGTGGTTTCTGATAATTGTGGCAGCTTTGAATTTCACTATAATGCAGCAAAGTGAAGAATTGCTCCTAGGGCACATGAATGAGTTTAATTTAATTTATATCACAAACTTGACACCAGTCAGATTTTGTCTTATTAAATTTGGCAAGTTTCAATACATACTTATTTGATTTTCAACTGTAACATTTTCTTATTCTAGGAAATGTTTTCATATTTGTCCATCCAACTAAAGAAGCTGGCAGAAGCCTACGATGAAAGACTGTTGCATACACCTCACAATCCCATATCTTTAGGTAATTTTCTTCCTTTAAAAGGAAAATCAGCACTTCTGAACCATCCCCAGCAGGAAACTGGTATTTCTCAAATGAGTATAAATTCCTTCTGGTTCCAATGATATTTCTAAATTTATTACAGTATTAATTTGTAAATTGAAAAGGTTTAGTTAGCCTTTGGAAATGCTTTAATGTGTTTCTAAGATTTAAAAAAAACTATATTCTGAAAGAATCCAAGTCAATATTAAGAATTATGGCTAATAGAAAATTATACTTTAATTCCTGCTTCTAATGAAAATCATTTGGCTGCTAGTAAGGACTCGATATAAATATTAAAAAATATTTGTCAGTTAACAAACACCATAATATTAGAAGTTAAAGCTATTCTTACATTGTTTTATTGCTATTATTGTTTGTTTTCTAGAGCATCTCTGTGTTAGAGAATTCTGCATTTATGATAATTTCCTTTGTATAGGGGCTATGATTTTTGTCATAGACAAGAACTGCTGAATGGCATAATATAAATGTTGACTTTTATGCATTTAAGTAACTTTTAAGCTTCATTATATTCTTTTTACTTTGTGAATATGTGCAGTGTAATATGCTTCATATTTCAGGCATATCTGAGGAAAATTAGTAAATAGTCATTTGTAACTTAAACCTTTTTCAGGAGTGGCTTCCATGGAGAACTATTTGGCCCAGCCAGTCCTTTGTGGTTTATAATTTATGTAGATGCTATAAAAGGTGATGTGGTATAATTTGAATCCCAATTCTGCCTTGTACTAGCCCCTAACTTGCTTTCCCCATCTATAAAATAGAGATAATAATCCTCACATGCAGAATTATTAACGAACTAGAGGCCATTGCACGATATTCGTGCAATAATAGGCCTTCCTTCCCCTGGCTTTGCTCCAGTCACCCAGGAGCCTGAAAGTTCTTGCTCCCGGCCAGAGCACTGCTTCTGTAGCTCCCTCTGTCTCCCCCTCTCCATCATAGCAGGCATTCCGCCTCTTCAGCTGCTCCATGCCCGCATATGCAAATTAACCTACCATCTTTGTTGGGTTAATTTGCATACTCACTTCTGATTGGCTGTGAGTGTAGTGGAGGTACAGTCAGTTTACATGTCTGTCTATTATTAGGTAAGACTAGAGGCCTGGTGCACAAAATTCATGCACAGGGGTCTGTGTCCCTCAGCCCAGCCTGCACCTGCTCCAATCTGGAACCCCTAGAGGGATGTCTGACCACCTGTTTAGGCTCGATCCTACCGGGATTGGGCCTAAACGGGCGGTCAGACATCCCTCTCACAATCCAGGACTGCTGGCTCCCAACTGCTTGCCTGCCTACTTTCCTGATTACCCCTAACTGCTTCTGCCTGCTAGCCTGATCACCCCCTAACCACTTCCCTGCCAGCCCTATCTGGTTTGGACAGCCCTATCTGGTTTGACTAAGAGGATGGAGCATTGGCCTGCAGACTCAGGGGTTCTAGGTTCGATTATGGTTAAGGGCATGACCTTGGTTGGGGACACATACCCAGTGGGGAGTGTGCAGGAGGCAGCTAATCGATGTTGATCTCTCTCATAGATGTTTCTAGCTCTCTATCCTTTTCCCTTCCTCTCTGTAAAATAACATTTATTTTTTTAAAAAGAAACATTTAAGCTTCCTCCATATATGCCTGGCTGGTGTGACTCAGTGGTTGAGATCCTCAGTGGAGAGGATTGTGCCATGAGGGTGTGTGCCCCTGCCAGGCTGAGACCCCAGCCCAGGCTGCCGCTGCTGGGAGGGAATCTGCCCATGGGGAGTGAATTTGTTTTTGTTTTTTATAAAGGGTCAGGAGGCCTCTGGGCAACATTCCACCAGGCTGCTTACTCTGCGGGCTCTCAGTGGCAGCCCTCCCTGAAACTGGGGGACTCCAACAGAGCTGAGAGGACTGGGCACTGCCATTTTGTGGCTATGGGCGCCGCCATTTTTGTCATAGAGTGATGGTTAATTTACATATTACTCTTTTATTAGATAATATAGTTAAGATTATGTTTGTAAACTACCTAGTATGGTTAAGTCCGTCCTTAGGAAATGGTACCTAGTTATCAGTGATTGGTGGTATGCATAGAGTTTACTCACCCAATCTTAGAAAGATAATTTTCATTTTTATATGTAGAAGTTGATCTTATTTAGTGTTTTATGTTTGCTGAAATATATCCCACTTTCTCATTTTACAAGTTCTTAAAATATGGTTGAATTTGACCAAACTGCCATATTGATCATGTCATAGTTTCATCTGTTTAATTGGAAAATTCACTCTTTAGAGAGGTAATATGAAAATTCTGTCTGATTCTTAGTATGTTAATTTATATTAATGTATTTTTGTCTCATATGCAAGCAAAACCTTACTATAATTTATTAAGTGCATGCCAATCATGCCACTTGACAACGTATACAAAGTAATATCTCTGTGAAGTAAACTAGTTACAAAGAGACCAATACTGAGTGATTTCATTTATATGAGTTACTTAGAGCAGTTAAAATCATAGAGACAGGAAGTATAATGGTGGTTGCAGCAGCTCAGGGAAGGGAGAATTAGGAGTTATTTTGTAATAGGTATACCATTTCAGTTTTACAAAATGATAAGAATTGTAGGGATGGATGAATGGGTGGTGGTTGCACAACAATGCGAATGTATTTAACAATACTGAACATACCCTAAAAATGCTAAGATGGTGAATTTCATATTATGTGTATTTTAACACACACAAAAGTAATGTTTTCATTATTAAGTGTTGTTTTTTGAGTGATTTTTTTTTTTTTTTTTTTTTTTTGCTCGTGAATCAAGGCTCACTGGGGTGCTTTTTTCTTTTTCAGCTGTGACACTTAAGACACTGGATGAGCATCGTGACAAAGCTGTCACTCAACTTGGCTCAATGCTTTTTACCAGACAGGTTTCTGGAGCCAGGTAATTATATTTAAAAGCTTGGATTGATTTGGCTTTTTAAAGTTATTTGGCTAATAAAGTATCTTTCTTGAACAATAGTCCTCCAAGTATATGCTGAACTACCCCCAAGAATTCATTGTGGAATAAATATTGAGGTCGAGAATCTATAGACTTATTATATGCCCACCTGTGGACTGCCTACACTTCAAATAGACACAGAAATATATGAATCTCGTTTATTTTAATAGACATACAGAAACAAAAGTTCATTACCTCTTTATGTTTGTGTTTATTTTCTTTTGTTAGATAATCTTCAGTAATCTCACTTAATGGTGTTATAAATGTCATCTTCATTACTAAATTTAAGTGAAAGTGTTTTTAAAGAAAAGCCCATTTCCTAAACTAAAAAGGTTGTACTCTCTTTGAAAAATGTACATTTTGCTCCTTTATGTACCTGGTTTAAAAATTAATTTCATTTTTAATTTGATGATGTCAAAGAAGAATGACTTGAAAAGAAATACCTTGGTTTAAGTATTCCTGTTTACATTCTTCTATTACTTTCCTCTGACTATCAGAGGTTAGAGATTTCACATCAAAGGACAACTTTTAAAAGAAAAAAATCTTAGATGAATTCAGCTTTTACCATGATATAGCACAACATAGTGAGATACTTCTGAAATGGTTTTCTTAGCTTTGCTTTTAGTGTTGCCATGATTGTTTAAGTTTATCTTTTTAAAAAATATATATTTTACTGATTTTCCACAGAGAGGAAGGGAGAGGGATAGAGAGCTAGAAATGTCGATGAGAGAGAAACATCGACCAGTTGCCTCCTGCACACCCTCTACCTGGGATGTGCCTGCAACCAATGTACATGCCCTTGACCGGAATCGAACCTGGGACCTTTCAGTCCACAGACTGATGCTCTATCCACTGAGCTAAACTGGCTTCGGCTGTTTAAGTTAATCTTAATTGACTTCTTCGAGAAATAAAGGACTGTTAGAAATCTGCTTATATCAAGTGTGCCAATGAAATCAAGCTTAAAAAAATGCATGTGCCATTACTGATTGCTGACCCACTGTAAGCAGTTACATAATTTCTTTTGGATCCTTGCTTTAAAATCCTTATTGCATAGCACTGATCAGATAGGTGTAATTTTAGTTTGTTGATTATTTGAGGTGACAGATGGCTGTTAATCAGAGTGATTTTGACAAACTAGTTCCACCATTCCGTTAAAGTTCTTATATGTGAAATCAGATTCCATATTTGCTACAAAAACAATTTTCTCTTTGAAGATGTACAGGTGTCTGCAATTCCTAGAGCTTCTACCTCTTTAATAAGAGATAAGTAAATACCCTGTTTCCCCAAAAATAAGACAGTGTCTTATATTCATTTTTGCTCCCAAAGATGCGCTAGGTCTTATTTTCAGGGGATGTCTTATTTTTCCATGAAGAAGAATACGGTACACATTTATTGTTAAATGAAAATAAAGGAAATTTATTACCTGTATATGGTAATAACAAACCAGACAAACTGTGAATCCTACAGTATCAAGAATTTAGCCGAAACCGCTTTGGCTCAGTGGTAGAGCATCGGACTGTGGACTGAAAGGTCCCAGGTTCGATTCTGGTCAAGGGCATGTACCTTGGTTGCGGGCACATTCCCGGTAGGAGGTGTGCAAGAGGCAGCTGGTCGATGTTTCTCTCTCATTGACGTTTCTAGCTCTCTATCTCTCTCCCTTCCTCTCTGTAAAATATCAATAAAATATATTTTAAAAAAAAAGAATTTACTTATTTATTCAATGACAATCATGTCATCATCTTTTGGAACATCATCATAACAATCCAATTCCTGAATTTTTTGGTGAATTTCTTGTGACTCCATTTCTTTCAGAATCAGTGGACCAAATCTCTCATGTTTAGCAATAGCACTGTCTTTAAATGAGTACTTCTTGTCAAGGTAGCCTGCTCGCAGTGCATTTGCAATGCAACTGTCAGTGATTTTCTCCCATGAATTCTTCACCCAAGTCACAACTTCTTGCAGTTTAGGTTTCATAAAGTTTCTGAGACAGAGCCTGGGGGGGGGGGGGGGCTTTTTTTCAGGGGGATGCCTTATATTTCACTCAGAAGGAAACCTGTAAGTAGGTCTTATTTTCGGAGGATGTCTTATTTTCGGGGAAACATGGTAGTAATCTTTTTTCCATGTAAAATTGAGTGTGTTGTATACTGTTTAGCTTAAGGCTGACGGTCTTTCTTCATAGACCATGATTTATGGCTGTTTATAAATTTCTAAAGAAGTAGATGTGAGGCTTAGAAAAGGATAAGGATAGAAATGTATCCTTATCTTTTGTTTGTGGGTGATACTCTTAATATCACCAGACATATCAAATTGGTAATTTTGTTTTTTCATTTTAGAGTTGTGCCTCTTGGGGCTGTGCAAACTGTGAGTGGTTATACTTTCCAAGGCTTCATGTCACATACAAATGATTACCCTTGTGCCTACCTCAATGCTGCCTCAGCCATTGGAATGAAGACACAGGATGTGGACTTGTTTATAAAGAGACTGGACAAGTGTTTCAAGATAGTAAGAAAAGAACAAAATAGAGAAAGTGATGGATCTGGAGTTGACAATGACAAAACTGAAGATGCGGTTACTGAAGAAATGGGCTTAAAACTAGAGAATGTATTTCTTGACAAGTTCGAGGATTCTTCATGACATGTGAAGGGTTTATTTTTGATAATTTGAAAGAAATGATGAGGTGACAGTATAAGCAAGCAGTTTAAAAACAAGTCTTGAAATTTTTGAATTGAGAATGTCATGGAGAATGTATGGTCAAGGAATAGAATATGGCCTGATTTAGCCATTTATGATTGTTATACGTTTTATTCTTATATAGCCTCAAGCATTATGATCCTTAATGGATTATAGTACACAATTAGCATTTTTCTAATTGTGAAAGTATTTGTCAACTAAGCATTATGATTAAGATAATTCTTACTAATATAAGAGCAGTAAAATTACCACAATACTTTTTGAAATGTGTAGACTGTTTCTTCCTAACTATTCTCTACCGATCACAAATTACTTTTGTTTCTGATCACATAGAATTTAGAAAGATCTCTAATGCTACTAATTTCTAGATGTTTGTGGATATGTGCAAGCCACAGTATGCCTGTAAAATGGATACTTCCCAGAGAAGCATAGTCAAGGGGTAAGCTTTAATTTTCTCTCAACAGAATTGGTTCTCAACTTGGGATAAGTTGCTTATTTCTAAGCAAATATCTGGGACATTTTTGCTTATATTTGAGATATTTTGGTTGTTATGATTGGTGGGATGCTGTTGACATCTAACATCCTATAGTAGACAACTTTCAAAAACAAAGAATTATCCAATTCCTATTCTCAGTAATGCTGAGATTGAGAAACACTGCTCTAAAGTAAACTAACTCCTCAAGGGAAGAGTTTTCCACAGAAACTTTAATTACTCAATAGTGCTTCAAAGAAGATAGCTCTACAGTGTTATTTGTCTATATGGTATAGACTTTTGGTTAGTAACCAGCGTTACCCGTTCTAAATATGTAACTATAAATGGTTTTATATGGCACTTGTGCACCTTTCCATTTAGGTAAATGAAAACTTAATTCCAATGTTTTTGCTTTAAGCAGCCTTCGGGTTTTGGTTAGTGTGCCCAAGTGTTGTGCACAGCCATTAGAAAGAGTGGTTAACCATGGGTATTTCTGAACATATATTGCTAGGGAAGTGAAATGATGAAGTATGATAAACAGGTGTATCCTCCCTTCCCTGCCCACATGTTCACTTTCTGAGTCAGAAATTCCAGACCTATTGGCTGTAACAATTATTAGTGTCATTTAAGAAATAGACATATGTCTCATAGTTGGAGGAATTAGTGAAGCTTCTGAAAATACACCAAATGGTGAAGCTGTTTCTCAAGACCCACTTTGTAGAGTGTTGTTCCTAAGAGGTGCTCATGGGGATAAAAGATCTTGTGGACAAATAATTTGGGGACTTTGCAGACCAGCTTATTGGCATATTAAAGGTTCTGAGAATTCCTTTGAAACCATTTGAATGTATCCTTATCTGAAGACTTATTGACATCCACTGAACATACTTTTGAAAACATTGCAGTAGAGTCTGCCTTGATTTCTGGGTGGTTTTTCTCTCTCTTGATTTGGCAATGTGCACTACTAAACATGAGCTTAGATAGATCCACTCTCATTAAAGTGTAAGTTTGGGTACTTTAGACACTGGCTTGACAACCTTGGAAATCAAGACTATTGAAATAAAGTACTTAATTATAAATATAATAAAGTACTTAATTATAAATGTCATATATCTCGAGTTCAAATATTGTAAAGATCTGTTTTTTAAAAATAGCTTTAACAACTTATTTTAAAGGAGTAAATCCTGGATTAAAAAGTTGTATAATGTTTTCTATGTTAATTTGGGACTGAACTGTAGAACTGTAAGCTGAAGTGTCTGCACAGAACCTCTGGAGTCTGCGAGAAGGAATGAAGTGATGTTGCTGGTGTAAATGCTGGCAGTGCACTTGTCTCTGTGTAAGCCAGAACTGCTTTACAGCGATCTGTATTGTCGTTTAAGAGAGGCCAGAGCAGATAAACTAGTAAATATTATTTCTTCTGCAGTGTATCAGCAGCTCTTGGGCTTCAGTTGCTGAAAAGATAATCATTCTAATTGAAGATAAATTACATGAGCCCACATGTGAATGGTAGATGTGTTATAACATTTCATTCCTGGTGCATAAAATCAGCTACAGTGTTTATTATGAGCACTTTCTTTTCAGAGATTTTGGAATTCTAGTTCTATTCCTGCTGGTTTAAATTTGACCTTGAGATAATAGAATTCCTAAGAGTTTTTGAAGGGCTGTTGTAGGTTCTGTATATGCAGGCTTTCCTTTATCCTACCCCAATGTTGTTTTCCTAGCTCTCTTCCATTTCCACGTGTAAGTGTAAGAAAGTATATACAAACCGTTGTTCATTTTAAATTGCTAGTACTAATTGGTAACCCTCCTAATTGGCCTTAGTTGTCCTGAGACTGTGACAGGGGCCAAGGATGATGCCTTTCTGTCATTGACTAAGGTGTCCTGTCTGTTTTTGTGACCCAACTGTTCTTCCTCAGGCTGTCAGGTAGAGTTTTGGAGTTGGGTTTTTAAAGTCACTGTGCTGTGGTAGTCTGCCCAGAAAAGAAAATTGAATAACAGAAAATATTCTTTAGGTCACTACACAATGTATTCCTTATACACACAGAAGGGAAAGGTATTTTAAATCCAACTCTCAATTTGACTCTTATGTTCTCAGCTGATGAATTCTCGCTCTATCAGGGAATGACATGTGATACCAGCCTTAGGAACTCAGTGTTTAGCTATAAATCTTTCTAGTTAGCTTTGTGTATTAGATGAATGAAGTGAAGCTATAGAATGTGAATTATTGAATACAGTTTTGTTCAACCAATAGGCACTTGATATACAGAATGGTAAATTAAACTAAGTTTTTCCCCCCAGTATTTTTCCCCAGCATTTAACACTACTGTGGCTCTGTTTCTTTTTTTCTTCCTTCCTTCCTTCCTTCCTTCCTTCCTTCCTTCCTTCCTTCCTTCCTTCCTTCCTTCCTCCCTCCCTCCCTCCCTCCCTCCCTCCCTCCCTCCCTCCCTCCCTCCCTCCCTCCCTCCCTTCCTTTTTCTTAAGTGGTCCTAATGGTTACTAAATTATAGCAGTGGTGAGATCCAATCCAGAGCTGAAAACTGGAAGGCAGGACAACCCAACCCATGTCAGGAACATCAGATTGAATCTGTATGCGAAGTCCTTCCCCAAATAATGAAACCTGGACACCCCCACAAGCTGAGGGCAAGCTTGTCTGAAGATTCCTTCACCTCATCTTCATTGCACTGCAGAATATCTCCAGATTGTAAAGCAGTTGCTGGATCAATGGGATAAGCTTGGAGCAACAAGAACTTCCCGGGAGAAATCAGATTTTCCAAACCAAGCATGCTTGGCAACAGTTGAGTAAGACTACAGCATCGAGTACTGACAGTGTAGCATCAACTGTGGCACAGAAAATACCATCAGTTTTTGGACATACTGAGGAGCACAAATCACCATGCTCAAGATGCAAAGAAGCAGCTTCTGACAGACCAATAAGCTTGTTATCCCTGAGTAACTGTTACAAGATAAGTCTGGCAGGGTCCTACCAATGCAGGCTTCGCGAAGGTACAGTAAGTGATAGCTCCTTGAATCCCGGAATTAGCATGATCAAGTTCTGTGTTGTTGAGGCTGAGCACTAGTAAGTGTGGCGAGTGGAAAATTAGACAACAAATTCTCTTGGGTAGTGCCACACAAATCTTCAGTAACTCTCTGAATACCTAGCATCACCCTTTGTGTGAATAATGATCTTACAAACATGGCAGAAGTCTAAATTGACCTCAGAGGGAGTATCCTGAGAGAGAACAAGTACTTCGGACACATACACTGCTATATAGAGTACAGGCAAGTGCCAGTTGGGGCTTGTGAGCAAAGACCTCACCTTATGATGAGCTTGACAAGGAGAGGTTGGGCAGAATTCTGTGGTTTTCTTTACCTCAGTGATCGTTGTCCTGATTGCGTCTAGAGGCTTCAGCATTCCTAGTAAGGAGTACAAGTCAGGCGCTTGCACACCTTGACTATCAACCTAGTAATGTTTAGCCTCATTAGCCGGGTGACATCAGGACTTAATGTCACAATCCCTACAAAAGTAACTTAGAAATCAGGACCTCCCTGAGTAATATACCTGGCTAAGCTATAACAGAAGTCAACTTGATCTTAAATATTAGATAGAAGGTCTCATTGATATCAAGCAGATTATAAACGGCCTTAATGAACCACCTGAGGGTTGGAGAAGAGTTGGTGTGTAAGAGGCAACTCTGATATACCTGACTACAGAAGAGACTGCCTCTATATTTTTGCCCCATGTACCAAAATGACACAAATGTAAGCAGTCCAGGGAGAGGGGCAATATGGCTTAGGGACAATCTTTCCAAGTGTTTAGGCAATTGACCAGAGTTAAGAAGAGTACCCAATTCTTTAACTTCTTGAGCAAATGATAAGATTTATTCTGCCAGCCTATAGGACACTGCAATTGCTGCATCGCCTTCCCATGACTGTGTATGAGTAGTAGTCTCAGTTGGCAGTTTTGAGAAAAGAATCCCTGGATAAATAGGACTCTGACTTAAGCCAAACCCCTTCTCTAAGATCTCATGGGTACAGGAGTTGCATGACACTTCTTCTGGAGCTCATAACAGTGCATTATTGAGGCAAGGAGGTTGAAACCATGTATGAATGCTGTTTGAAAATGTAGCACATAGTCACATTGCAATTTGGTCAAGTCTGCCATGTAGTCATTAGGGAACATGACATGGGTTGAAAGGATGTTTAAGGACTCAGTGAGTCCAGATTGGTCATCTGAAGCTGTTGGCAGCCAGTGGGTCAGCATTCTATCCAACACTAGGAACATCAGGTAGAATCACATCCTTTTCCTCAAGCAGGCAAGATAATGTTTCAGGTTTGGGCCAACAGATCCACAGAGCTTAATCCAGTCACATGCGGCTGTGAGGTCTTCAGCCATCTTGCCTATCTTTCCCTCTGGTAGGCCTGTCATTGCTTCTTGGTTTATCTTAACAAATGTTTGTGAGCTTATATATAGTGGCCTATTCCCCCTTTTAACCCCACATCGTGGTTCTAGGAAAGGCAAAGGCCTGAAGATTATTGATCTTCTCACACACTGGGCAATGACTGAGTTACAGAGTTTAACTTGTTCTGCTATGAAAGGCATGGTTACACCATGTAATTTTTTCCCCCGTGTTAACTCAGCTTATCTACAGTATTAACAGTATAGCCATGAAGGAAATCCAGAATGTTAAGGCCAACATGCTTAGGGGCAAAAATGCTAGTGATAATGTGGCTGAGGAGAGCTTTACTAGCCTCTGTGATAGACCTCAAACTAATAGCCTGACTTATCGCAATGATTGTGCTTGATTTCGGAAACTTGAATAGGCAGCATTGCTTTTATTGAGCAAACAATGTAGTAACTGAAGGTATAAAGATTCCAGTGTATAAAGATCATTTGCCAAGATCTCTCCTTTTGCAATAATGTCTATCTGTACAAGGCTCAAGATTCATGATGGTCCCATCATTTCTCCAAGTGAATACTCAATCCACTCCCTCAACACAACCTCAGGTCTCCCACAGCAGTCTAATATTAAGACATGTGAGATCAGAACACAGGCGATTGAGCTTGGTGCCCGAGCATGTACAGCTTATCAATCTGGTGAATTTTTCCAGCTGAGACCCCACATGAAACAGCGGTCTTGAGTAGATGGGGTCAGCATGACAGAAGGCTGAGTGGCAGGAGAAGGGAGACCTCCCAGTGCAGGATCTACACGTGCAAGGGCTGCCACCAATTGCTTATCTTCCTGAATCTGCTTCGGGAGGAGCCCTTTGATTTCAATGACATAGACAAGTCTTGCACATTGGTACTCAGTCTCTGAAAAGGAAACCGGGTGAATTACTTCTAGCAAATACAGATGTTTTTTTCTCATACCCTCAGAAACTCTGTGTTGTTGAGAATGACTGGGATGTTACTGAACTCGAGTTGTTAGGTTGGATGAGGAGTTCCAAGCAGTGGATACATCTGTCAGGATGAGTGAGGCAGCAGCAGAGTCTGTAAGTCTGAGGAAGATGGAATCTAATAAGGGAGACCGTTAGGTCTGGCCTGTTTTGTGAGCATTTTATTTGGATTTCACTCGCAAGTGGGCCTGGGCTAAATGCTTCAAGTTAGAAAGTTTCGACTTTAATCTTAGCAGAGAATGGTTCTGGTGTGAGTGATATCCTTCCTGGTTGGGGATGGTATTTTGGAATGATCAAGTTTAGTGTAAAAATCAGAGTATGTTTGCTCACTCAGCTTATAAAGAAGGGTTACTTCTTGGGCCGAGGAAGGCTCTATGTCTATGATTAAGGTGGATGGAAGGAAAGACATGTGAAATGTTGTTGTCCTTGCAAGTGCTACCTTTATGTACTGGCATGAATTCCTGAATTGAACTTTGAGGACCAAAGAAAAGTATCCTGGCACTAATGATTTGGCTGAGTCTACCAGAGGATAGGCCTTAGGTGACATGGTGTCCGGCTCTGTTTCTTTAACTACCCTGTAATGAGAACTTTAATGAGGCCTAAGCTATAGGACAATATGCCTAGGATATGTTTTAATAAAATTTAAATTAAACAAAGGTAATTTTATAATCTGGTGACGTTATTTTAATATTGAATAAGTAGTTCATCGTGAGAGTTAAACTCTTATGTTCTTTCATGGAGGAAAATAGC